GCTGTAGGTGCAAACACGTTGGGTGGTATCAAGAAGGTGAAACGCAATTACGGGAGAGGGCAATCAAGGGTAGGCTAAGGGACTCTAGTCTGTCTTCTTTCGTTTTGGTAGCATAAGGGGCTAATGCATCAGATAAGATCGTCTTGCTTTGCTTGTGTATGCACGGCCGAAATCAAACTGATCCGAATTGTGAACGCAAGATGGTGGCGTACAGTCATTGGGGTGAGTGGGTGAGCTACGACAGCTTGTTAGAGACGGATTTCTGTTATACATGCACCTCGGAGAAATGCTGATACCTCCTCAAGTTATTTACTCTCTTTCTTCATACTTTGTATCTTATAAATTGTCACTATCTCATTATGTTGACCATAAACGCAACTCACTCAGCTGCAGACTAGACCGACTCCACGCTGTGCCGTTTTTCCCAAATTATGAATGAACATTTCTAAATTCCAGCATTGAATATCGGCGGTACTTTAGCGCGCGGTTTGAACTTCCATTGTGCTCCATCTCGTTCACACCTTTTGTCCGGTACTAGTGAGATACCAGTAGATATTTCACTGAAATAACTCTTGAAGTAGTTTTACGTTTACCAGTGTCGTTCGTGATCTGCCAAAGATCACAACCCGTTTACTAGGAAATTTTTCTGCGTACACTTTGTTGGTTCGCAGGCCTAAAGCATTTTAATTTTTAATTTTTTTTGAGTTTGGTAAAGCGTATTTTTCACGTTTTTGGTATCACCTTTGTCTACTTTTCCATAGTTAGAGGACTGTGTATTTAGACATTTCTTGATTAACTTGGAATGGCACAATCGAAAGGGTCCAACGCGTATGAGGCCATTTGTTGTGCAGAGTATGTTGCCGAGAGGATTCAGTGCGATGGCTGTGGAGTGTGGTACCACCAACGATGCTCTCAAATGAGCAAAAAGGAGTATCAGCTCCACATGGGGCACAAATCCTTTAAGTGGGTGTGCAAACACTGCGCAAAACTAGCCGATGAGTTCAGGAGAATCCTGAAGGCGTCACTGGTTTCGCCTGAATAAGGATAACAAAGAGAAACCGGAATGGACTACTTTTGCAGCATCCCTAAATAAAAGTGCAGGAATCGGAAAAGCAAGGAACCGAAACAAGGAGGGTGAAAAACATACTATGAGGCCTTTACAGGCTAACAAGTCTGTGATTAAACCGGAGGGACAGCCAAACTACCTGGAAATGGTACAACGGATCGAGCAGTTAGAGAGAAATTAAGCTGCTGAAAAAGAGCAATGAAGTATCGCTGGGAAGAACTGGGAACTTGCTCCTGCATAATTGCGCGCAGCCAGTTATTAACGTGACGAAGCCGAGGCGAGAAGCTGAGCATCGCCATGTGCAAAATACTTTTAGGCTGGCAGGGTTGCCCCCCAAAACCCTATTCATCAAGTGCCACAGAATTGGCCTGTGGAAAGGGGAAAGCGCACGTGGTCCAAGGCCTCTCTGAGTGGTGTTTCCAAACACTAACATAAGAGATCTACTACTAGCACGAGCTAAAGAGAGCAATGCCGTGGTCCGCAAGGTGAGGTNAACCCCGCCACGAACACAGGGCAGAGCACTGCAACCAAAGAACTTGGTGGCAGCTACCAGTCCGGAGAAGGAAACCACGGTGAGCTTTGAGGAACCGGCCACATGGGCGACAATAGTAGCGAAATCCTCGATAGCAGCTCAGTTCCCAGCTCACCCAGTACAACGGAGATTAAATACTTCAAAAGTGAAGGGGGATGTACTTTGGGGGTAGAGAAGGCTTTTGGAATGACGATAAAAGTCATTTACAGGGAGAAAAGTGGAATGGCTTGGAAAGTAGAAGAAGCCATGACCACACGCACACACACACACACACACACA